AGGGAGAGAAGAGGGGGGGAAGAAGGAGGGAGCGGAGGGGGTGGAAGGAGCGAGGAGGGGGAGATAAACAACATGTAAATTGTTTGATGCGACCTTGGGAAGGGCTTGGCAAATAAATACTTCGTTGGTTCACTTATAGGTAAAGGGGGGATGCAACTCTTCTCTCCTAGTGGGGAAGGAAGGGTTGCAATTCTCCTCCCATCCCCCACCCCACTTCCATCCTCCCTAATAAGTCCAGAAATTAAAATTTTTCAGGAAGGAAAAACGTGTTTAATCCTTTTAACAACTGTCCATATTTTACCCATTTATTCTTGTTTTATTGTTTCTTTCAAGCTTTAGAATAATATTTATTTTCCCAAATTATTTCTTAAGCACATACAACAGATACAACAGTCTAAGAAACTCCAATAAAAACACAAATTTCAGAATTTTGGGCTTTGTACATCTGAACATATTCTGTCCGAGAATAAGGCAGAGAGAAATACCTGAGTGTGTCCTGTAGGCTGTTCTGTGAGGACAGCGCGATGGACTTGAAGAAGCCGTGGACCGCCGGGATACAGTACTGGATCTTTGCCGAATTCTGTCCGCAGGTGAAGAAAAAAAAAAAATCACACAGAGCCATACAAAGTAACATAAGAAGAAGAAAAGGAGGAGTGATAAGGACGATAGATGTTTGATAGGCAAGAAGAAGCACACCACACCAGAGCACCCGCCAACCATCCACTGAAGAAGTTTGAGAAAAGCTCACACAGCCAAATGGATTGATTTTGTCTTGAACAGGGAAGTCATATTCATCTTTTCTAATTCCGAATTCTAAGAATCTGACCATCCTTGGATTTGACTTTGTAACAATTTAAGTAATGAAATTTAGTAAAAGTTTTATGACACTTGCAACACAGCTGGGTCTGTAAGTACCGAAGCTTACAAGGTGTTGCTAGAGAGTAACACACAAATAAAAGAGAGGAGGCATAGAGATGATAGATGTTTGATAGGAGAGAAGCAGCAAATCACACCAGAGGGCATGCCAATCACCCATACACTTATACAAACATACATACACACACACACACACACACACAAACACAAGCG